GGGGAGGGGTGTTGGGCGGAGGGGTGGGAGGCATGTCGGGGGGAGGGGTGTCTGGGGGAGGGGTGTCTGGGAGAGGGGTGACTGCGAGAGGGGTGCCTCATCCCCTCCCAACCCCCAACTCCCATCCGCCTGAACCCAATGCCAACTCTAACAGCAGCACCCATACAGCAGCAAACCCCCATACCAAGACGCTTTCCCCCACCCCTGGCAGCAACATCAGCCGCCTCCACGCAAGGCAACCCGCCCCCTTGTCCCCCCCCTCAAAGCCTGCCTCTTGGAGCCAAGCCTCACCCAGAAGCCTCGCGTCCTCCCCTGCCTCTAAGCCCCTCCCATCTCCCAAAGCCTGCGCCTCTGCTCCTGCGTCCGCCAAGCCCCTTTCGTCTCCCAAAGCCGCCTCCTCCTTGTCCCCCCCTGCGCCTGCCACGACCCGCCGCTCGCCCAGAGCCCCCCCGTCCGCGCTGGCGTCGCGCCTGGCGGCGGTGCTCAACGACATCCAGTGCAGGCCCGCCCCGCCCCCCGCCTCTGGCGCCGCCCCCATGGGCGTGCGAGCCACCGTCGCCACGCTCCCTGCCACCACTTTCCCCACCCTCGCTGCTTCTGATGCGCCCGGGGCTGGCCGCACAGAGGCCGAGGGGCTGCCAGAGGGGGCGACGGGAGCTGCGGCTGCTGGGGGGGCAGCATGCCGAGACATGGTGGTGGCCAGCGGGAGAGGTGGGCGGATAGGTGCGTTCGGCTATCCTGGTGGTAGTGATTGGGGCGGCAGCAGCAGCAGCTTCACTGTGGCCAGGGAAGTGCTGGAGGCCATGGGAGCCGAGCCGTTGCTACCAGGTGGCGCATCCCGATTGGACGACGTTCACTCGGTGTTGCCGCCCGGTTCTCGCCGCCGAACTTCCGGCCTCTTTGGGGTCGGCGCAGTCCCTCTTGACTACAGAGGCGCACTCTCTCTTAACGAGTATGGCTGTAGTGGGTCTAACCTGGGAGGGTCCTTGACGGCGTTGGGAGGAAGACCAAGTGATATGTCAGGCCGGCTGGTAAGGAGTGCGGGGGAGCGGGCATCTAGAGGGGGCACAGCAGCAGTGGCAGCACTGTCCGCAGCATGGTGGGAGGCTCGAGGGCAGGTTGGAGCCTTGGAATTCCCCAAACCCACGGCCGGACCTACATCCGCTGAGGTCACGGGCCCGGCAGTTTCCGGGAAGTTTCGGTCGGTGGAAAAATTCGCGCGGGCGCAGATGGTGGCGATGGCAGAGGCGGCGGAGGCGGGCGACACCAGGCGGTTCCACTCTGCTTTTGTGCAGCTGAAGCCGCTGGGGAAGGTGCGGGGGAATGCTGTGGAGCGGCTGACGCACTACGTGGTGGAGGGGCTCATACGGCGCATGGCGGGCACGGGGTTCCAGCACTTCAGCACGCCGCTTAGACGGCCTCCCAAGGTACGAGTGGGGGAGGGACTGACTCACTCTGTGTGGAGGGGCTGATGCGGCGCATGGCGGGCACGGGGTTCCAGCACTTCAGCTCTCCTCGTAGACGGCCCCCCAAGGTATGAACGAGAAGGGGGTTGGGTCACTCTCTTTGTGTGCTGTGGAGCAGTTAGACCCGCTGCGCAGCGGACGGGCACACCCACCTGTCGGTCCGTCCTCCTTGCCACGCCAATGTGACCAACGCCCCCTTTGCTCTCACCCCACCCTCTCTCTCCCCCAGGAGCTAGACGAAGCCCAGACGCTCTACGCGTCCTCGCAGCCCTTCCCTCTCTTTGGCAGCCTCTCCATCGCCACGCTCATAGCGGAGGCGGTCAGCGGCAGCACCCACGTGCACATCGTGGACTTCGGGTGCCTGCAGCCCATCCACCTCCCAGTGCTCATGGAGATGCTAGCAGCCCGCCCCGGCGGCCCTCCCACGCTGCGAATGACCGGCATGGACACCGCGAGCTTCATTTGTGCCGGGAGGAAGGATTTTAAGAGGCTGAGGGCGATGGACGACGTGGGGAGGAGGCTGAAGGGCGTGGCGCGGCACCTGGGCGTGCCGTTTGAGTTCGAAGGGGTGGACGTGGACGAGGATAACCTGCAGATGCTGTACCAGGTGAGACCTGTACCAGGTGAGACATCTGCGCCAGGTGAGACCTGCACCAGGTGAGACCTGTCTGCACCAGATGAAGCCTGCACCAGGTGTGCCCCCCCCCTGCCAGGTGAAGCAGTGGCACGAGATGCTGGTGGTGATGAGCTTCCCATTGACCTCTGCGATAACCCATCCCCCCTTTGCTGCCCTCCTGCCTTGCTCTCCCCCCTCTCCCCCCCCACCGCGCCCCGGCAGGTGAAGCGGAGGTGGCACGAGACTCTGGTGGTGGTGTGCTTCTTAGAGCTGCTGCTGCTGCCCGACTCCCCCCACGGCCCTCGTGACTGCGTGCTGCGGGTTAGTTGATGTTGATCACTCTGCGGGTCAGTCCCCCCGTATGCTGCACACACTAGCTTTGCTGCTAGGGTTCACTCTCTCTCTCGCTTGCCCAGACTGCTTTCTGGAGCTGCTGCTGCTGCTGCCACGCGGGTCCCCGCATGGCCCCCACGACTGCGTGCTGCAGGTCACTTGGTCATTCCGCCCCACGGATAAGTCCCACCTCGCTCCTGCCTCAGCCAAATGGGGCAGTTTCAAGATGACTTTTGAGTCAACTCAAAAGTCATATCCCACGCACTGCCTTTGATTGTCCAAGTCATCTCCTTCGCACTGCCTCCAGCTCAACCCCTCTCACTCCCCGGTTGGGGCACTGCCCCACCAGTTGGGGCAGTTTCAGCGCCCCTCCCGTGCTACTTATGCCCCGGTCGAGAGCCATCATGCATGCAGCACCTTGGGTCTCAGCCGTGTTAGGTCTTGTTGTGCTGCTCACGCCAGCCCCTGGTACATCTTCTTCTCAGTCGACTCAAAGCTGTAACATCTCCCAACATCTCCTTTCGCCTATCCTACCTCCTTGTTCCCCCATTGTCTCCCCCATCCCCACGTCATCCCTATCTCCCCCCCCAATCCTCCTCCTCACCACAGTAGATCCACGACATGCAGCCGGCGCTCTTCACATTCGCGATGTTGATCTCAACACCAACCACAGCACATTCCTCCGACGCTCCCTCCTATCCCCCCTTTCAACACCCCCTCACACACCCCCTCACACACCCCCTCACACACCCCCCCCCTCTCCCCTTCCCTCCCCCCCCCCCCCCCACGCCCCGAATCTCCTTCGCAGTGGATCCACGACATGCAGCCAACGCTCTTCACGTTCTGCGATGTGGACCTCAACACCAACCACAGCGCTCATTCCTCCCATGCTTCCTCCTGTTCCCCCTTTCAAACCCCCCTCCCTCTCCCCCCCCCTTCCCCCCGCCCCCAATCTCCATCACAGTGGATCCACGACATGCAGCCAACACTCTTCACCTTTTGCGATGTCGACCTCAACACCAACCACAGCGCCTTCCTCCCACGCTTTCAAGACATCATGGACCACCACCTCTCCGTCTTCCAATTCCACGATGTCCTCCTGGGCGACGCGGATAAGCGGCTGCTTGCCGTCTTTGAAGAGATATTTTTTGCGCGCTCTATTGTAAATGGGATTGCTTGTGAGGGGGACAAGCGGGTGGTGCGATCGGAGAGAGTGGAGCAGTGGAGGGAGCGGCTCTTGTCGCTGCGATTTTCCCCGTGCACCATACCGACGACGGTGACTGACAGTGTACATAAGATGCTGAAACGGTTTCCGCTTGGGTTGGGTTTGCAGATAGAGGATGGGGCGATTAGGTTGATGTGGCGTGGGAATTATTCCCTCTTCACATCCGCGTGGATTCCATGTGTTGGCATTTAGAATCACCACCTGGTTTGATGTAAGTATTGATTCGCTTTGACGTGGATGTATTGCTCCATCGGTTAGTACCAAATGTGTAGGCTCATTACACATTCTTCTCATTACCAAGGAGCCAAACCATCCTTCGTAACGCGCTTATCTTATGTTTGTAATGTCTTGCTTTGAGTTTGTCGGAGCTGCCTACATCGAGCTAGGGTTGCCGAAGCTCCCAGAGTTGGCTTGCGTCAGCGGCTTTGGGAACTGTCCAGCGCGAAATTTCTTCCTCCACGCAGCTTCTCCCCGCGCTCGTCTGCGCCTCGGTTCGGTTCTGAATTGAAGCCTCGGGATCAGGGTACTGTACACGTTAACAGAAAAATTACCCTGACTTGACTGAAAATCCAAGGTTTTTCTAAGACCGAACCTGTGTTTTACAGAGCTTTTGTCAAGCTAGCCCTGGGAGCGTCAGGGAGATTTATGTTCTTACTCGTAGGAGTCCGGGGAGATTTTGAGGGGGCCCTGACATCTAGTTCTTCCCTTTAACCCTTAGCCCCACTCTGATCTTCCCATCCTACCCTTAGTTTAGCGGTTGGATTTGAAATGAGCTGCCAGGAACAATTGTTCACGCCACTCAAACATTGCCCCATCCCTCCAACCAAACCCCCTTTCGTCCCAGCCCCTGGCCTAAATATAGCACCTTCACGTGCGTGATTAATCTGTAGCATAGGTGCTGGAGAGGGGGCGGGTTTCCCACCTCGAAGTCGCCCACTGGCACCCTCACTATCTTGTCCAGCAAAATGGGCTATAACCTATCAGGCCTTCTTTAGCACGGACCCTGAAGAATCAGGGTAACTTTTTTTCGAGGTCAGTTTTTACAGAGCGATTTTTCGAGAGCAAGAAGAGCGATTTTTACGAGGTCAGTTTTTCCGAACCTTGCCCACGTCATACCTGCGCTCCACTTGCCAACGTGGCACCAACGACAGCAGTGGGCACACCTGGTTGAAGGAGGAATCTTCGCGTAATTCCTCTTCGTGAGAAGTCAATTTTTCAGGTTGTTCGCCTGTAGCCAGTGTCTGAACGAGCCAAGCCTTATGAGGACGATGAATCATGACGAGGATTTGGTTACCCGCTCCCGGGCACAGAATCAAGGATATGACCCCTGCAACCTGCTCGCCATTCTCCCTCCCCTCCACCCCTCTCCCCTCCTCTCCTCTCCACGCCATCTCCTATGCTGACTCGCGTATAAACGTGGACGCAAGCTAATCCCGATCATTCATTTCCCTGTTCTCCCAGCTGTCTTGCTTCCTCCATTGCAGCCCTCGTTGATTCCCACTAAACCATTTTTCATTTACTCCAACGACTCTAACTGCTCGCTATGGCTGCCGAAGTCGGCGAGGGCAACTGCATCGGTTATGCGGCCAGGGACCAGTCGGGATTCCTGTCGCCCTTCAAGTTCAACCGCAGGTGCGCGTTTCATCCTCCATTTCCCCTCAGTTTCTTCTCCGAACCGAGTCGGTTCTCCCGTTCCTTGCTTTCTCCACGCGTCATCACCTCTTATCGCGCCCGCTTCTCCCGCTTCCCGTTGTGCTGATCCATCATTCTTAGCTTAGATCGCATCTCGGACGAACGATTCCTTGCTAAATGGATGGATCTTCGTTAGGGAAAGTGTCGGATTTCCTACTTTTTCGGAAGGACGACTTCAGTTTAAGTTCCCTGCTACCTTCTTCCAGCTGGTTTTGAGAATTCTCGCGCGCTCGACCACTCCCCGCGTTCCCATTCCCATGGGAGATGGGTCCGAGGGACGTGCGGATCCGCATCACGCACTGCGACATCTGCCGCAGCGACCTGCACGAGGCCAGGATCGAGAGTTGAGATTGGTTTTGAGGCGCCTCAAAACTAGACCTGCACGAGGCCAGGATCGAGTGTTGAGGCGTCCCAAACCTCGTGTATTCACCTGACTTTCAGACATCTCCAATCCCCATGGCTCGCAGGGAGGTGGGGCCCAAGGACGTGCGCATCCGCATCACGCATTGCGGCATCTGCCACAGCGACCTGCACCAAGCCAAGAACGAATGGGGCGGCTCCCTCTACCCCATGGTCCCCGGGTACGTCTTCTGGGAGTTTGCTCTTATTCCCTTGGCGCTGTCGTTCAGAATGTGCTTTTTACATTTCGTGTTTTTAAGGTCGCCCTTGGGGTTCCGAGACGGCTCCTTTCTGTTGTCCTATCTCAGAATCTCGTGCGAATTCTCTGTGTCTCTGACACATGCGTTCGCCTCGTTTCCTCTCGTCCGCTTTCCCTCTCTTCACTGGCCCCAGCCACGAGATCGTGGGGGTGGTGGAGGCGGTGGGCTCTGAGGTGACCAAGATAGCGGTGGGGCAGCGGGGCGGCGTGGGGTGCATGGTGGACTCGTGCCGCACGTGCCAGGCGTGCAAGGAGCACGTGGAGCAGTTCTGCCCTGGCACCGTGTACACATACAACAGGCCCGACCCCAAGTCTCCCGGCGAGGTCACGCAGGGCGGCTACTCCTCCTCCATTGTCTGCGACGAGGAGTAAGTCTCCCGGACGGGTCCGCTCTGTAGTGCAGCCTCTTCGCCACCCGTGCAGGCAGCCTCTCTTCGTTCGTCTGTCTGCGACGAGGAGTACGTATCTTGAACCTCCTTCGTCGCCCTTCACTCTCTTTCTCTACAGCTGAGCTTTGAAAAGTTATTTATTTGATGGCCGTCTCATCATCCCCCCCCCTCCTCCCCTCCCCCCTCCACACACACACACTCCCACCCCGCCTCTTCCCTTTCTTCCCCTCCCACTGCCAGCTTCGTCCTTTCCATCCCCGAGGCGCTCTCGTCCGACCTGGCCGCGCCGCTGCTGTGTGCGGGCATCACGGTGTACTCGCCCATGGTCTACTATGGTGCCAACAAGCCGGGCATGCGGCTGGGCGTGGTGGGGCTGGGCGGGCTGGGCCACATGGCCGTCAAGTTCGGCAAGGCGTTCGGCATGGAGGTCACGGTGCTCAGCACGAGCCCCAGCAAGGAGAAGGAGGCGAAGGATGTGCTGGGCGCCGATCGGTTCATTGTCACCAAGGACGCCGAGGCTATGAAGGTGAGCGGCTGTGGTTGAGAAGCACCATGTGACTCAACTCAACCTACATATGGAAAACCTCAAGCATGCCTTGAACCCTTGAATGCTAGTCATGATTTGCTTTCACCGGATCCATGCACCACGGTAAAGGTCACGTTAAGCAAACGATTGACAAGCTTGTTTATCAGTGATCCGTTGACCAATCGTGTCATTGCCTCCCACCACACCATGTTGTTCACGGTGTCGGTGCAGCATGAGCTGGCGGCGCCATACCTGGAGCTTCTCACATTCAACCTGCTCTGTTTGCTGGTCTCTTGGTGGTAGTCTGTTTCTGCTTTAACCGTTTCCCCTCTCCCCCCTCCCCCCCCCCACATTCACCGCCTCTTCCAGGCAGCAGCGGGATCGTTGGATGCCATAGTGGACACGGTATCGGCGCAGCATGAGCTTGGGCCGTATCTGGAGCTCCTCACTTTCAACGGCAAGATGATCCTCGTCGGCGTGCCTCCGCAGCCCTATGACCTCCATGCCTTCCAGCTCATCGGTGGTGAGTGCTCAGATCAACCTGAAGGGATTGTCATTTGTTTGAGAGAAAGGCTTAATATGGGATACGTCAAGCGTGTTCAGTCTGCAGACTTTCGCTTAGCATTTCAAACTGCTCATTCTTGTATTGGTTACTTGTTCTTGGCGTTTTGCAGGTCGTAAGACGGTGGCTGGTAGTTTGATTGGAGGGGTCAAGGAGACTCAAGAGATGCTAGAGTTGTGTGCCCAAAAGGGAGTTGTGCCTATGATTGAGGTTATCGACATTCAAGACATCAACAAGGCATATGAGAGGATGATGAAAAGCGACGTGAAGTACCGTTTTGTTATTGACATTGAGAAGAGCCTCAAGTAGACTTGTTATAAAGGCCTTCTAATATGATCTATGTTGTGAGCCTTAACTTGTAAGGCTAGTGCAGGTCCCGCTCCCGTGCAGCTCGTAACAAGTAACAATATCGCTCCATCGTTGCCCAAAGCGAGGACTTCGCCAACAGGCTGTGCCTTGGCGGAATGAATGCGCGCAAGAGCCCCCCCTATCGCTGATCCCCCATCCGCCATCTCCGCGACTTTTGGGCCCTTCCGCGTTTGCGCGGCAACAGGATCAATGGTTCACACCACGGGTCCAGGCGGATGCGCGCGAGCCCTAGCAACAGAGTCTCGCTCGCCTTTTCTCTACTCCATGATTATTAGTTTTCCAGCCATGGCACTTCGTCTCTCCTTACGTCTTTATTCGACTGTTGTGGACCATTCGAGCTCATTCCTTCGCAAGCATCTCCGAGAATACGGAATTTGTTCTTCACAGTCGCATTGGGAATGTCGAATTTCAGGATGGCTTACTAGGACGGCCGCTTAGAACTTTCACGACATAGTAGTTGACGATATGGAAAGAATTGCTGTACCTGATGCTCGCCGTTGTCGTTGCGCGTTTCCTGGATCTGCAACGCATCGTATCGCATAATCAGCCATGAGGCTGACGTCAGCGACGCTGCAGTATGTCCAGTGCGAAGTTTCCTCCACCACGCAGCTTCCCCCCACTTTCCGCTTGTCTCCCGACACGGATACTATTCTGATCGCTGTCGATCCCAGTCTGGATCTGCAACTATTTTGTCTGCCACGTCAGCTCAGCACCCCCATCTATCTGTGATGACGGTTCGTGAAGGAGGCTCGCTTTGCGACTGTAAATCTGCATCTTCGCTACAGTAAAAGTGCACACTAGCGTGCTGCGCCGGCAACGTCCATGTCATGCAGATGCAATCCGTCGACGTGGCACAGACACGTCGGCGTGGTTCCTTCAGCCGAAACCTGCGCCTGGGGGGGAAGGATATTAAATTCCTCCTCGTGACAATGGCAGCTGCTCTGATGGCAGTCTCACGAGAAGATCATGATGATGTTATGGTCGGAGAGGAGGCGGCTCGCCGCTCTGTTCGGGGATGGCTTCTTGCCTCTCGTCCTCCGTTCCCTCCCCCTGCTTCCGACGGCCTGGGTCCGCTACAAATACGCGGCTCTAGAAGCCTTCCGTCATTCCAGCAATCGCCATTCGTCCAGCAACCGCCATTCGTTTCGAATCCTCTTAGAACTTCAACGACTCTAACGGCTCGCCATGGCTGCCGAAGTCGGGGAGGGTAACTGCATCGGCTATGCCGCGAGGGACCAGTCGGGATTCCTCTCGCCCTTCAAGTTCAACCGCAGGTTCGCCTTGTGTTACACTCTCCACGCTTCACTCGCAGCTTCGCCGTCTCAGTTTCTCTTCACCAGAGCTATTGTGATCGCGTATCATTTTCGTCCTCCCGCTTGGTTGTGTCGTTCTGTGCTCACCTGATGTCTAACAAAATTCTCGGTAGGCAAAAAAGCGCTTTTGCAAATTCTCCCCCACCCCCCCCTCCCCGTTTTGGCTCGTTGCTCGCAGAGAGGTGGGGCCCAAGGACGTGCGCATCCGCATCACGCATTGCGGCATCTGCCACAGCGACTTGCACCAAGCCAAGAACGAGTGGGGCGGCTCCCTCTACCCCATGGTCCCCGGGTACGTCCCCCTGGGCTTGGTCGAATTCCCTCTACCCCATGGTCCCGGGATTCGCTTCCTTGAGCCCATTCAAAGTTGCCCTCTTTTCCTTCGCCATTAGCCACTCCTGCTCGTCCCGTAGGTACGTGTCAATCTGCATCTGCATCCCCATCCCTGCCTAATCCTCTCCTTCCTCCTTACCTCCCTCTCCTTCTCCCTTCCTCCTCCCCTTTCCTTCCTCCTCCCCTTCCCCCCCTCCCCCACCCCTTCCTTTTCACAGGCACGAGATCGTGGGGATGGTGGAGGCGGTGGGGGCGGAGGTGAGCAAGATAGCGGTGGGGCAAAGAGCGGGCATCGGGTGCATGGTGGACTCGTGCCGCATGTGCCAGGCGTGCAAGGCGCACGTGGAGCAGTTCTGCCCGGGCTGCATCTACACGTACAACAAGGAGGACCCCAAGTCGCCCACGGGCGAGCCCACGCAGGGCGGCTACTCCTCCTACTATGTCTGCGACGAGGAGTGAGTCTCCTGGCTGCTTGATTTCTTGTGCAGGCTCGCCGCCTTGCCTTCACAGCATGCTAATACTCTGAATTCCTTGCCACCCTCCTCCGTCCGCCCTCCTGCCAGCTTCGTGCTCTCCATCCCGGACAAGTTGTCCTCGCAGGAGGCGGCGCCGCTGCTGTGTGCGGGCATCACGGTGTACTCGCCCATGGCGTTCTACGGCGCCAACCAGCCGGGCATGCGGCTGGGCGTGGTGGGGCTGGGCGGGCTGGGCCACATGGCGGTGAAGTTCGGCAAGGCGTTCGGCATGGAGGTCACGGTGCTCAGCACGAGCCCCAGCAAGGAGAAGGAGGCCAAAGACGTGCTGGGCGCAGACCAGTTCATTGTTACCAAGGACGCTGAGTCTATGGAGGTGAGAATACCACCTATTTTAATTCTTCAAGTTTCAGGTTTTCCCGCTGAAATAAGTTTACCACAAATAAACACAAATCTTGCTGTGAGGGGCTGTCTTTATCCCAGTGACTGCTAACCGTTTTTCCTTTTTTCGAGGGGGGTTTTCCCTGTAGACATTTTAGTTGCTTTATTCATGTTCGTTTCCCTTCCCCCCCCCTCACCAGGCAGCAGCGGGTTCATTGGACGCCATAGTGGACACGGTGTCGGCACAGCATGAGCTGGGGCCGTACCTGGATCTGCTCACATTCAATGGCAAGATGATTCTTATTGGAATTCCTCCGGAGCCGTACAAGCTTCACGCCACGCAGCTGCTCATGGGTAAGTGCTACTGTTGGAAATGAAGCTACCATTCACCTGAGATATAAGGCATGGTGATGGCTATGTCAAGCTAGTGACCTTTCTGGCATCTACCTTATTGACGTATGACTATTCATGGTGTTTTGCAGGTCGCAAGACTGTGGCTGGTACTTTGATTGGAGGGATTAAGGAGACTCAGGAGATGTTGGATTTCAGTGCTGAAAAGGGGGTTGCCCCGATGATTGAGGTTATCGACATCCAAGACCTTAACAAGGCGTATGATAGGCTGGCCAAGAGCAATGTGAAATACCGCTTTGTCATTGACGTTGAAAAGAGCCTTAAGTAGATAGTGGGAAGAACGTAGGGATGCATGTTATTTGTTTCGAATTTGGGTAAGTGGGTTTCAGTGTAACAACGGTTTGACGCTATATCGGGTTGCAGCAATGGCGCTGTCTTGGTAGTATCTAATTCCGCAACTTTGGAAGCCGCGCCTAGCAAGTAGCACGCATTCCCCCGCAGTGCCACCACCAACCTCTCCGAACTTGCGCTCTATCACCCGCACATCTTCCCCTTCTCCCCCGCCTTCCACACTTCCGCCGCGACAATATCGATGGGTACTGTAGATGCGAAAAAGAAGAAGACCAGCCGCCACGAGCATGGGGTAGACAGACAAGCCCATTGATGCTGCCTGCTTGCCTTGATTTTGCCTTGCGTTGAGTTGCATGAAATGAACAGAACAGCCATCCACCTCATCTATTCATTGTTTGGCGTTGCGTTGCAGCCTCTAGTTATGCTGGCTTCTTGCCTGAACCTCTTTATTTGGATCCCTCCCTCCTGCCTAACACCTCCTGCCACTTAGGTCCTTATTCCGCGGTGGTGATCTATTCCAGTCCTTTAACTCAGGGCTACCTGCATTGTTCCAAATTAGGGTTCTCATCTCGTCTCGCCTCCCTCGCACCTTCGCGTCCAGTAGGGGCACTCGACTCATCACATCTGCTTGACACGTGTCACCCGTCAGCCGCCGTTTCTCGCGCGTAGCTCGCGTCGTCTGCCCCGTCAGCTCGTTTAACTATGTTCTGCTGCTTCTGTCGCTCGCGAACCGCGGACGATGACGACGACTACGCCACGTCACTCCCCCCCGCTCCCTCGGGCCGCAAGCACGCCGCGCCCTCTGCCAGCGGCGCATCCGCAGGCGTGCACGAGTTCGCGAGCCAGATGGCGGCCGCCGACGACCGCGTCGCGATGTCTTCCGTCGCCGTGCTTCACGCCGCGCAGATCCGCAGCATCCGCTCCGAGAATGCCGGCGACGCGAGGCCCGTCGGCACGCCGCCGAGTCGCGGCGGCAGTCGCGGAGCGACCCCGACCCCGCGAGATTCGCAGCGGTCGCCAGGAATCGCAGGCGACTGGAGCCGGAGTTATCAAGGTCAGTCCACCCCTGGCGCCGCGTCCGGGGTAGGGTTTGGGTCGAACGCTGCCGCTGTGGGGAGCGGAGTTAGTGGGAGCGGAACGGGCGGCGGCGCGGCCGTCCATAGCATGTCGGAGCCTCGAATCGCGAGCCTCCCTGGAGCAACAGGGGACAAACTGCCTGTATCGCCTTTATCGGGTATGGTTATATCAGGTCAGGCGCAGGGGAGCCATCACCACGCGCAGTACGCGCACCAGGGGGCGGGCGGAGGGGCGGGCACGGGTGTAAGCGCGGGGGTTGGCGCAGGCGGAGGCGGAGGCGGAGGAGGGGGAGCGGGTGGCGCAGTTGTGATGGCGGGCGGGCCGGGGACGCAGCGCCCGGTGCCACTGGCGGGGGGCATGCCCTCATCTGCGCCCGGGCGCGCGCGGATACTCGCGTGGCTTCAGGAGTCGGACTTTACCTACGCCGTAGTTAACGAGGTGGAGAACCTTCCTATGAAACTTCCCTCGTCGAGCGGTAAAGGAACAAGCAGCGGCACTGGCGATAGCGATTCTGTGACTGTAGGCGGAGGTGACAGTAGCGGGGGGACGAACAGCACGAGAGAAGGGAGCCACGACCCCGCTAGACCCTCACATCCCAACCCTGACGAACCCGTTATAGAGAAACTCGGCTCGTTCTTATCAAGTTTATTAAACGGATTTTACGATGACGCGAGCAGCCCGGCCCCTCCCCCGCAGCCCGGCAGCAGCAACCAGCCGTTCGACCCGTTCGCCAGTTCCAGTAACGCGGGGTCGTGGCGGCGGCAGGGGGCGGTTGTGACTCTACCCGGGACCAGGAAGGACCTGCCGCCCGCAGCGCCAACGTTCGGCTCGAGTGCAGCGGGGGGAGGAGGAGGAGGAGCAGGAGCAGCACGAGCAGCAGCAACAGACAGTGGAGGTTTAGGCGTCGGTCGTTCAGGTGCGGCTGCAGCTGCCCCTGCTGCTCCAGCTGCCGCACGAGATGCCAATGCTGCTGGTGCTGCTGCTGCTCCTCCGCCTAATCCTGCGTCCCCTGCTGCTGGCAGTGCGTCTCGTAACCCCTCCGCTGTGCGCACGTGGAAGGATAGTGCCGGTGCTACGTTGACCAACACTAAGTTTCACTCGCAGGCTCGGCCTACCGTGCCTACAGGCCTGGGAGCAGGCTCGGGAACCCTGCTATCCCCTGCTGCTGCCGCCGCTGCAGCGGCAGCCACGGCGGCCGCAGCTGCGGCAACAATGACAGGGGCAGGGGAGGGTCGAAGTCGAGGCGCCGCCGAGCCTTGCGCTCTTAGCCCTGCGCCCCCTGCAGCAGCAGCAGCAGCAGCAGCAGCAGCAGCAGACGGCGGGGAAGGGACTGTGGATTCAGGCGCAAGGGAAGAAGCTTCAGCGCCAGGTGGAGAGGAACTAGCCGCAGAAGCAGACGTTGCAACTGGTGCTGTTGCAGCCACCTGTGCAGCAGACGCGGGCGGAGCAGGGGGGGCAGGTAGGGGAGCAGGTGGGGGAGGCGCGGCAGTGGGGCGGGGGAGAGAGCGGGAGAAGGAGGGTCTCCTAGTGCAGGCTCTAACCAACCTGGTGAGGCAGAACGGAGCAGAGGGGGAGGGGCGATGCAGCATGGAGCGGGAGAGGGGCAGTGGGGAGTGGGGGGCGCAGGTTTCAGGGGGGAAAGAGGCGCATGCCGCAGGGGAGCAGGAGTCGCGTGGTGTGGGCGGGAGGGAGGCGCGAGGGGGGGGAGAGAGCGAACCGGTGAGCCGGTCAGTCACAGAGGCGTCAGCTGGGGACCTGTCAGCTATTGCCAGCACGGGTGCAGGGCTTTTAGGGGGAGGTGGTACCGGTGCAGGTGGAGCTGCCGAATCTGGTGTGGCAGCAGCAGGGGTACAGGGGTGGTGAGGTGACTTGTCTTAGCTGCTCAGTCACAGAGGCGTCAGCTGGGGACCTGTCTGCTGTCGTCAGCACTGGTGCAGGGCTTCGGGGGGGGGGGGGGGGGATAGCAGCAGGAGGGGCACGTGCAGGTGCGGGTGCGGGTTCTGGTGCGGAATCTGGTGCGGCAGCAGCGGCAGTGCAAGGGTGGTGACTTGCCTCAGCACCACGGCCAGGCATGGACGCTTCACCTGGGAGCCTCTCTGCTGTTGCCAGCACCGGTGCAGGGCTTGTTTGGGGGGTGGGGGGAAGAGAGAGGGGGGAAGAGGCAGGCGGAATAGGGGCAGGTGGGATAGGAGCATGGGGTGGAGCTGCAGGAGCTGAATGTGGTTGGGCAGCAGCAGCAACGCAAGGTTACACCCGCAGGGAAATATTTTGGTGTGGTGCGGTGCATTTTGAGATGCCCCAAAGCCCCACTGGCACCTGTGACCTGACTACTTGAAAGCCACCCATGCACATCCATCCATGTGATGATGAGTTGAGATTGAGACCAAGTTTGAGGCGCCTCTAACGCAACGACCATGCGTGCATGCGCGCTGCGCCCACTCCACATGGCACGGCGATGCGACAAATTCTGAGGTGCTTTGAAGTCAATGCAATGTGTGCCTGCGTGCTGCCTTACTAGCTGGCAAGTATGTATGGACCCCCCTGATAGGTGGTAGTATGAGGTTGAATAGAGCATACCATAGTGGCCTACTGTGGGTGTTTTATGAGTTCATTATTTGGTGCAGGTTTGGCTACTGTAGTTACATTCACACTCACTCAAGTGATGCGAGGTAGTAGGGGTGCTGTAGGCTACTCTAACGAAGGCCTTGGCTACCTGTTCTTCTCTGTATGACTCCAATGTAGGCTACTAGGACGTTTACTAGTGAAACCAAGGCAAACCAAGGTTCAAAGGTGCACAACAAACCAAGGTTCTAAGGCGAGCAAAGGTGCAAGGCAAGCAAAGTTGGAGGCAGCTACAGGGACTCCGGTCAAGCAGTGATGATGACCCAAGCCGGCACATACTCCAGCACTGCTAGGTTGGGCACTACGCGGGACGCTACCCACCGCTCGCCACCCCTCTCCACCCCTCTCCACCACCCGCCTCGGTGCCATGCAATGCAGGCAGGCCCTCGAGGCGGCTCCAAAAGAAAGGTGATCAGGCAGCGCTGCCACAAGGAGGCATAGCGTTGGCACCAGCTGGCACATACCGGTACTCGTGCACAGCAAGGTTGGGATGAAAGACTAGCCCCAGCCGGCCGCCCCCCATCCCTCTCCATCACCTCACTGGAATGAAGCCCCTAGGTGCCTCAGAAAGGTCATCAGGCAGTGCTGGTGCCAGGTGGCGCATAGTCCAGCACAGCGAGATTCGGCATTATGAGGGACGCTATCCACAGCTTGCCACCCCACCAACACCCAGGTGCCTCAGAAAGGTTATCAGACAGTGCTGGTGCCTGGCGGCACATAGTCCAGCACAGCAAGATTCGGCACTATGAGGGACGCTATCCACAGCTTGCCGCCCCTCTCCATCACGTCGCTCGGCGCCTTCACCCGCTTTCCCGCCCGGTCCTCCAAAATGTCGGTGATCTGCCCGGACGCGTCCACCTCTGCGATCATTCCGTTGGGCAGCCCGAAAATTCCGGCGTAGAGGAGAAGCGGGTGCAGGTGCAGGCGCAGGAGGATGGAGCGCAGGCGAGGGGCGCGAGCGAGGAAGTCTGGGGAGGAGGGGGAAAGGGGGGGAAGGTGGGGGAGATGGGGGGAGGGAGGGGATGGGGGAAGTTGGAAGAGGATGGATCAGTGGGGCATCGTGGCAGGGGAGCTTAAGCTAAACCTGTGGGGATGAGTAAAAAAATAATGGTAAGGCGAGACTAGTGGGAGCAGTGCAAGGGGAGATTATTCCCGTAGCAAACGATGACTTTTGAGTGGACTCAGAAGGGCGCAAGGGGAGTGCATTCCCGTACCATAAGCGGAGGTTCGGTACGCAGGCATGGCGATCCAGAAACGCCCCCGGGGGTTGAGCCTGGGGTTGTCTGGCACCCCGGGCAGGTCCACAAACACCTCGTGGCTGCCCGCCTTGCTGCCCTTGAGCCAGTAGCGGTTGCACCTGCTCATGCTCGTGCGCACAGCCACACACACATGCACAGAGACACACATGCACACATGCACACGTGCACACACATGCAGTACACAAGGAACGAGCGGTGTTGAGAGAGAGAGCAAGACTAGCCTTAGATGCATTTGCCTGATGCTAGAGACCACCCCACCTGACACCCATCACCCCACCCCACCCCACCCCACACTACCTGACACCAAACACCCCACCCCACCACACCCCACCCCACCCCACCGCACCCCCCCCCACGGCATCCCACCTGGCTCTGATGGTCTCGCAGTAGACGAGGAACGAGCGGTCCTGGGAGAGGGCGAGCCCGTTGGCAAATGCCACGCCGGGCACGAGGCGAGTCACCTCCCTCGTGGCAATGTCGTACTTGTATAGGCCGCCGTCCGCCCCGCCATCGAGAATCATGGAGAGGAAATTCCTAGCGGGAAAGGGGGAATGGGGAGGAAAGATAGGACGGGCGGATGGGTGGAAAGCTCAGCCGCCTGCCCCGCTGTCCAAAACCATGGAGAGGAGATTCGTCCACAGAGTGAGAGAGGTGGAAGTGGGGTGAGCGGCGCTGGGCGGGGTGAGAGAGGTGGAAGCGGGGTGAGCGGCACTGGGCAGGAGAGCGAGGAGAGTTGAGGAGCAAAAGGAGGGAGGAATGGAGCGGAGGAGTGGACGAGCCAGAGAGCTGGAATGCGGGAGGAAGAGGGGGAAGGGGGGGGGTGGGGGGGAGAGAGCTGGAAGGCGGAAGCGTGAAGGGGGAAATGCATGAGCGGACGAATGCCATGCCTCGCATACCTCATTTCGTATTTGGTGCTCGATACAGTGAAATACACTGTTCCGTTCTCATCTTCCGCGTCCATATCGAGGTCGTTTATAAAGGACAACTTCTCTCCGTCCACCAGCTTCCCGCCAACCAGTTGCTCCGCCTGTCCCCCATTTAAGCCGACCCGATTCAGCCCATAGTACGCGTCCGCGATATAAAGCTCTCCAGTAACGGGGTGAAACCGCAGGCCCAAGGGACGGCCGCAAAGAGGCTCCTTAGACGGATCCGGCTGTGACTTTGGCGGAATGTCACACAACTGAGGGGTGCGATTCGGAGAGGTGTGCGCGAAGGGCTCCCATTGGCTATTGTCCGCGCTCCGCCGCACGACGCGGCCGTCTACCAAGCCGGAATAGGGTCCGCTGCCGTTAGCGTCCATGGCTAGACTCTCAGGGCCGATGCCCTGGTGCTCGTACCTGCCATTCGCATGTCCGCACGTGAATCACGCATCATACAATGAAGGGAGAAAAGGAGTACTAGTCCTTTTACCACAACCACATACATTCGAGAGGGAGAAGACATCGACGGAGGAGGAAGCTCACGTGTCATGGCATCAGGGGGAAAAAGAGAATATGGCCGTTGCCGTAGTAGTATGTGTTCTCCGAGAATGTGTGTGTTGCAAATGCGGGTGGGATTCGTCAATGCCATTCAGTGTGCGTTCTTCAGTTTAAGTCGACTCAAAAGCAGACTCATTACACGCGATTTTTGAGTCGACTCAAAATGTGAAATGCGGGTGGGATTCGTCAATGCCGTTGAAATGTGCGTTCTTCATTGTGTGAAACTAGTCGCGATGCGCTATGCATTGCGGTTTACTCGTGTCCCAAAACACAACTTTACTTTATCTCCGCAGAAGCAAGGCGGTTCGAGGGGTCGCTAGCTCCCGGCACCGCGAGCGGCGGGAGGAGGACTGGCGACACGTCTACCGGCTGGCGAAGCGCGAGCGGGTCGTTATAGACGAATGACGCGATGGCCGCTACAAGCACGCCGAAAAGCGCGGCGCGAAGGGCAGCCATGGCTGAATCAGAGGCGAGTACGGCTCTGGAGAAGACAACAAAATATGGGGGAGATAAGACAATCACTGAGGGTGGGGAAAGTCAAGGGAAACAGAGGAATTGGGATGGGATGTCAACACCAGTATCCATGGAGGAATGGCCCAGGAATTATGCTCCTGGAAGGAATGCACCTAGACTACAGCGCCGCAAATTGTCAGTCAATCCGCAGCAGGCCTCTCGCTAACAGGGTAATTACCCTTAATGTCGAGAAATTAAGAGTTAATTTCCGAGTGATTCCGTTTGTTTACAGCGTGATTTGTTTCCGAATCCGTCCAACTTACGGGAACAATTTCTCGCGATTCCTTAGCCTAACCAGTAACTTTTTTCCGAACCCGTACAGGCTATACTTGTAGCAGGGCAATCTGTAAAGGGGAAGCTCCCCCCCACCCCGGCCCCCCACCTTCGTGCTTGATTCCTTACTAGACGAATTTGTAGTGCCCAATACCTTTCGGAAACGGGTTTTTTTCGGGAAAATTCCGTCTGTTAACGGATAATCCAGAGGCTATTCCGTCCCCTTCCGGAATACCCTAGGACTTAGCGAGAGGCCGGATCCGCACAGGCCAATGTACGGAGCAGGCGCTGCGAGGAGGCATATGCCGCACAGCAGAGTCACTTGGTGAGAGATGGTTTATTACGGTTCTGCATTATTAAGTGTGGTCAACCTGCGTGGATGCTGATGGTATCGGAAAAATTATCTTAGTAGCGAATTTCGTATACCTGATTTTTCATCTAGTACTAAATACTTTCTGTCGCGAAACGCCCGCACCCCTTGCGACCAGACCCCACGATATCAGGAATTTTGCGTTGATTGCACTTTTTTTTTCAGGGTCCCTTCTTGTACCAACCCTGATGAATCAGCGTAAAAAAAATATGAGAAAACCAGTAGAGTACAAATTAGTACAAATCCTGATTTTCAGGAAGCTTTTTGGGACCAACATTGATAAATCAGAGTGACCCAAAACCTAGCATAGGGCATGCTTGCGACTATCAGTGACCTCAGCGACATTTTGCAACCTCTGCGATTTTTTGTAACGGCAGTTGCGACAGCGTCCCGTAGTTAAACAGGGCTCGATTCATAGCATTGGATGGGTTGCGTAGTTGGTATATACAATAAAAGAAGAATGCAGTAAGTAGAATGATGATCAAGTACATAAAATGTATAATATGTTAATATACGTGCATCTTAATGAGTGTTAATATTGCACACTATTTGCTACAGCTCATGTCAGTATGCTTATGTGCATATTTGTTTTTCTAAAAGTGCAGCATGCGTTTGTAATCGTGGTTTTATATGTTTATATTTATATTAGCCATTCCCTCTGTTCTTACTCCCTTTGTTCTTACTCTCTCTGTTCTTCCTCCCATTGTTCTTCCTCCCTCTGTTTTTACTCCCTCTGTTCTTACTGTTGAAAAAAACTAAGCCTAGAAGTGTCGAGGCTTCAGCTAGGGAGAAAAGTTGATGAGAGAAAAAAGGGTTGGACTAGAAGAGAGAGGGATACAAGAAAGGTGTTGTACCCTCTACAGTAGGATCCAGTATTGCAGCACACCTAACCTACCAAGCCTACACAACTATATATAAATAGCATATATAAGTTGACACACCCCTTGAGCTTGGTAGGCGCTAGCACACCACACACGCAACACCCCAAAACCTTTGCACCCCTATGCCATGCAGCTGCTGTGGCGTCTACCAGCGGGTCGACCCCTCGGCAATCGAGGATGCGACGTCAGCTGTGGGTCGCATCGGCGGCAGTGGCAGCAGGGCCTGCAGCGCCTACGGCGACGGCGGCGGCGCCCAAGGCACCCGATGGCGTGGCACACACTGTGACGACGGGGGGGAGGACGGCACAAGACCGCCAGCAGCTACGGCGGGGAGGAGGGGGAAATGCAGAGGAGGGGGGCGAGTTTTCAACGAGGCGTCGTGGCTGGCGCGACGCATACTAGCGTGCGGGCGAGCTGGCCAGCGCTGAATACGTGCACTGGCCGCGGCCGTCCGTGCGCTAGCGCATCGAAGCCGCCACGACAGCGCGGCGAGGCCGCCACGGCTGCTCGACGAGGCTGTCACGCGTCGAGGCCGCCATGGTAGCGCGTCGAAGTCGCCACGGCAACGCGTCGAGGCCGCCACGGCAGATGAAGTTGGAAGATTTCGAGGCACTGGACTCGGCAACTCTGCACCTGATCACCGCTCCCCAGACAGCGGTGCTCACATGCCGGTTAGAAGCACCGATGTCGATGTACGTCGACATCATTCACTTCATGTCCGATATGGGAACCCTGAACCTTCCCAAGGACCAGCGCGGCGCCTACTTCACCGAGTAAGAGCTGTCTGGTTTCGCTATGCGTGGGATTTGTTTTTTCGAGGCTCCTTGTGTTTCGTTATTTTGTCGATGCATGGTTTCCTAGTCTGGTCGATGTCAAGCTAACGACCGTACCATGCCTTCTCTGTGCATTGTGTGTCAACTTATACATATTAGCTATGTAGAAGTTATAGACTAGACTGGGGTATGCTTCTAGTAAGTACAACAAACTAGTATTTGTTCAAGGTTTCTCCTCTAGTTCATCATTCACGCATTCTAACATGGTATCAAGCAGGTTAGGTCCCCCCCCCCGCTTCCGCCCGCGGCCTTGTCTATCGCCCGCCCTTAGCCGGCCCCCTGGCTGTCGCGTTCGCCCCTAGCTGGCCCCCTCTGGCCGTCACGTTCGCCCCTAGTCGGCCCCCTGGCCGTCGCGTCCGCCCCTAGTCGGCCCCCTGGCCGTCGCGTCCGCCCCTAGCTGGCCCCCTGGCCGTCGCGTCCGCCCTCAGCTGGCCCCCTGGCCATCGCGTTCGCCCCTAGCTGGCCCCCTGGCCGTCGCGTCCGCCCTCAGTTGGCCCCCTAGCCGTCGCGTCCGCCCCTAGTCGGCCCCCTGGCCGTCGCGTCCGCCCTTAGCTGGCCCCCCTGGCCGTCGCGACCGCCCCTAGCCGGCCCCCTGGCTGTCGCATTCGCCCCTAGCTGGCCCCCTGGCCGTCGCGTTCGCCCCTAGTCGGCCCCCTGGCCGTCGCGTCCGCCCCTAGCCGGCCGCTTGGCCGTCGCGTCCGCCCCTAGCTGGCCCCTTGGTCGTCGCGTCCGCCCCTAGTCGCCCCCCTAGCCGTCGCGTCCGCCCTCAGCTACCCCCCCGGCCGTCGCGTCCACCCCTAGTCGGCCCCCTGGCCGTCGCGTCCGCCCCTAGCTGGCCCCCTGGCCGTCGCGTCCGCCATCAGCTGGCCCCTGGCCGTCGCGTCCGCCACTAGTCGACCCCCCTGGCCGTCGCGTCCGCCCCTAGCTGGCCCCTTGGCCGTCGCGTCCGCCCCTAGCCAGCCCCCCTGGCCGTCACGTCCGCCCCCAGCCGGCCCCCTGGCCGTTCGCGCCCGCTCCTAGCCGGCCCCCTGGCAGTTCGCGCCCGCCCCTAGCTGGCCCCACTGGCCGTCGCGCCCGCTCCTAGCTGGCCCCCCCCTGGCCCCGCGCGCCCGCTCCTGGCCGGCCCACTGACCGTCGAGCCCGCTCCTAGCCGACCCCAGCAGCGCCCGCCCGGCCCCTCCTCGGGCCCGCACGGCCCCCAGTCGCACCTGCCCGGCCGCCCTGCGCGTGCTAGGCCCCTCCTAGCGCCCGCCCGGTCCCAGTGCGCCCACCCGGCCCCTCCTCCTGCCCGCCCGGCCCCTCCTCGTGTCTGCTCGGCCTGCCGTGCCACCTCGGGCCCCGTGTCCTCTGCTAGCCCGCGCTGGGGCGCCCCGCAGCCGCCCTACTGGAGAGTGCTGCCGCCGTGTCCCCGTGTTGCTGTGCTCCTACCGAGCTGTGGAGCTGTGCTGCTGTGTCGCTGAGGAGTTGTGTCATTGACCTTGCACGATGGCTGACTTCGTGCTCCGCGTGGACGCTGAGGGCCACGCGGTTGACTTCGTCGCCTGGCTCTCCGATCTCCGTCGTCAGCTTACAGGTCAGCGCCAGGATGGACACTCGCTGGTTGTCCATGCTGATGGCTTGCTCCCCCGCCCCCCTGCACCTGCTCCCCTCCCTGTTGACCCCACCTCTGTTAAGAGTGAGGCTTTCTCTACTGCTGTGCTTGCCTGTGCGGTCTGGGACTCACGCGATGCAGTAGCTCAGATTGCTATCAGTCACGCCCTCCCTGTGTCTGAGCGCTCGCGTTTCGCTACAGTTGATACGGCCCAAGCTTATTTAGACGCTGTTATTGCTCGCTATTCCACACCTGCATCCGCTTCTACCGGCCGCCTGCTCTTCCCGATGCTATTCCCAGACCTTGCTGCCTTCCCTACTGTCGCAGACTTTGCCACTCACTTGCGTGCCTTAGAGACTCGCTATCGCACTGCCAGCACTGCTGCCCAGCTCACTGTGCTCCCCCCCCCATTCTGCATGACCCTCTATTTTATCGCCATGCGCCTGCCGGACCGCCTAGCTAGTGCCCGCGACCGCTTCCTTGGCCAGCACCCGGGTGACCTCACACTGACCGCCTTTGTCGACACCCTCACCGAGATCGAGACGCGCCAGCGCACTATCGCTCAGTCGAGCGGTGCGCCGGCAGTCTCTATCTTTCACGGCTGTGCCCCCTCCTAGTGCACGTTTACTGACGTTTCGGCTGCGGTCGCCACTGCGACCCCTCTTACCGAGACGGCTGCTGCGGTCCACCCGCAGCAACGTTCGCGCCGCGGTGGCCGTGGCCGAGAGGGAGGTCGTGGTGGTGGCACTAGTGGTGGTGGTAGTGGTGGTGGTGACGGTAGTCCACCTCAGGGGACTACCACCTGTGAGCAGGAGCAGACGCAGTCGCCTTCACAGCCGGAGCAGCCCCAGCAGCAGCCGCTGCTGTCCCAGCAGCAGCCGTCGCAGCCGTAGGCTCGTCTCCCACCTGGTTGGCCCGGCACCTCCGGCGGTGGTGGCCGAGGTTTTGGCCCGCGCAGCTTGGCGTCTACCGGCAGCTCCAGTGTTGTGACCTGCCAGTACCAGCTTCAGACTGGGCCTCTCCGCGGCACTCTGT